ATATATATATATATATATATATATATATATATATATATATATATATATATATATATATATATATATATATATAAATATATATAGTATAGTTAGATATCGCTCTATGGCCTTTAGGTCATATTGAGCGCTCTACAGGATGAGCCATGCCGCTTACGCATTGCGCACGCTCACTGCTTGCAGTTTGGGCGCTCTGGCATGGTTTTGATGTCCCACAATCGTGAGGCATCAAAGGTAACTGTAAATAGCAGTTACTTTCATCCTGCTCATCAGCACTACACTGATGAGGCCCATAAGGCCGAAACGGTACCGTCTGTAGTTAGATATCGCTCTATGGCCTTTAGGTCATATTGAGCGCTCTACATGATGAGCCATGCCGCTTACGCATTGCGCACGCTCACTGCTTGCAGTTTGAGCGCTCTGGCATGGTTTTGATGTCCCACAATCGTGAGGCATCAAAGGTAACTGTAAATAGCAGTTACTTTCATCCTGCTCATCAGCACTACTGTCAACACTGATGAGGCCCAAAAGGCCGAAACGGAACCGTCTGTAGTTAGATATCGCTCTATGGCCTTTAGGTCATATTGAGCGCTCTACAGGATGAGCCATGCCGCTTACGCATTGCGCACGCTCACTGCTTGCAGTTTGAGCGCTCTGGCATGGTTTTGATGTCCCACAATCGTGAGGCATCAAAGGTAACTATAAATAGCAGTTACTTTCATCCTGCTCATCAGCACTACACTGATGAGGCCCATAAGGCCGAAACGGTACCGTCTGTAGTTAGATATCGCTCTATGGCTTAGGTCATATTGAGCGCTCTACAGGATGAGCCATGCCGCTTACGCATTGCGCACGCTCACTGCTTGCAGTTTGAGCGCTCTGGCATGGTTTTGATGTCCCACAATCGTGAGGCATCAAAGGTAACTGTAAATAGCAGTTACTTTCATCCTGCTCATCAGCACTACACTGATCAGGCCCATAAGGCCGAAATGGTACCGTCTGTAGTTAGATATCGCTCTATGACCTTTAGGTCATATCGAGCGCTCTACAGGATGAGCCATGCCGCATACGCATTGTGCACGCTCACTGCTTGCAGTTTGAGCGCTCTGGCATGGTTTTGATGTCCCACAATCATGAGGCATCAAAGGTAACTGTAAATAGCAGTTACTTTCATCCTGCTCATCAGCACTACACTGATGAGGCCCATAAGGCCGAAATGGTACCGTCTGTAGTTAGATATCGCTCTATGGCCTTTAGGTCATATCAAGCGCTCTACAGCATGAGCCATGCCGCTTACGCATTGTGCACGCTCACTGCTTGCAGTTTGAGCGCTCTGGCATGGTTTTGATGTGTCACAATCGTGAGGCATCAAAGGTAACTGTAAATAGCAGTTACTTTCATCCTGCTCATCAGCACTACACTGATGAGGCCCATAAGGCCAAAACGGTACCGTCTGTAGTTATTTAATAGATAATTACTGAGGCCAACGGCATTATTCGATATATTGCTGCCAGCTGAGGCCGAAGGCCGAAGCTGGCTGCAATATATCGAATAATGCCGTTTGGCCGAAGTAATTATCTATTATAATTACTGACCCGAATCAAAAGTAATTATTTTCGGCTGGAAGACTACGTTGCTGCTTGTTGGGACCGTATGACAATGAATCTATCCAACGTTACACTAGACATTTGTGAGGACAGGCATGTAATGCATCGTGATAGAACAGATTTCAGCTTAATTAATCGCCCTAAATTAAAATCTCCACAAGCGGAGGTCAATTATAGTGTTCTAGTTTACATATTAACATTAATGATAAGGTTAATTCAAAGAGCGTATTAAACTGGATAAACACAGGAATAGAACTTATGGTGTGTTCTGCACATGCGTATATCTAGGATAAAATCCCACAAGCGCAAACGAAACTATTTCTCTATAAAGTTGAGCTGAAAGGACACACCGTGACCGTTTTGGCAGTGCTTCAGGCGCCCGATGATATTGTATGAGGGGCCTTTAGCACTGTCAACTTCTCATCTTGAGATGTTCACGTTATCGCGTGTACTTGTCAGGATGACGAAGGATTGCGAATAATGTCTGTGTGCACTGATACACGCTGCATTATTTTTAATAATGCTGTGTGCACGCTGCATTATTTTTAATAATGCTGTGTGCACGCTGCATTATTTTTAATAATGCTGTGTGCACGCTGCATTATTTTTAATAAT